ATTCCGCAGACGTTAGACGTCACACTCATCACGCGCCATTCAAACGGCTGAGCCCGAGCCCTGACGGGCGTGGAGCAAATGGACATTTCGACAGTGGCATCAGAGGTCGAGACTCGACATTCCATGGCAGCGGATCTCGACAGCGGGTTCCAACGCGAGGCTGCAGAACTAAGCCAGCCTACAAGTAGACTCGTTGCGTGGCTGTCCCCATACGATGGGCAGTCTAAGTCACGTCGTCAACGCGTTGCGCATTAGTCGTTCACTTTAATCGACAGTCTCCTCCTCGCGAAAAGCCTTGAAACGACCTTGAGGTCGCGGAGCCAACATCGATACAGTGGATACCGAGGACAACAGGGAGAAGCCGATTCGAGTCGAGGAGGACCTAAGGACACCTCCGCATCATCGTGTCTCGGTGGAGCTCTCTGCAATATTGTCAATGACGCCATCCGTGACTGTAACGGTGACGTAAGCATCTCGGAATTGGATGGAGGAATTACGGAACTCATTGAGGATAGAGCTGCGAACTCTACCAAGCGATCAGCTGACGGCAATAACAATATGCTCCAAGGCGAGAATGTGGAACGCTGACTGAGACGAGATTCCCGAGATAGAGGGGAGAGGAGCATGGACGAGGGACGAAGCAGAGGGAAAGGAGGAGTTTCCTTCGCAGCGAGACCTCACTCTCAAGGACACTGGAGGCCAGGTTGATCGGAGCTCACATTCGCCGTTCTCCCTCCGATAGAATGCGATGGCTCTCGGGAAAGATGCGACAGAGACTACGCGATAGTAGAGGCGAAAGAGAGAAGTGGGAAACAACCGGGAAATGAGTCGAATCCAGTCGAGTATACATATAGTGGGGAAGCATGGACAAAAACAAAAGAGAAAGAAGGACGATCCGGAGGAGGATTTGAGGCGGCAGCTGGTGCAATACTGGCACATCGGAAAGACGATGGGAGGGGGAATCGAGGGGAAATGAACTATCCCTGGGTGGAATGAGTGCGGACTTGGTTGAGCGGAATATACGTAGACGCAACGAGTAGGATTTCGATCGTCCAGCTCTTTGGGTCGACGAGAATCTCGACCGGTACCAAATTAAAAATGTTGAAATCCTCTCCGTGTCGCAAAGCCCCAGTGAGCCTAGGCTTGAACACGGGAGAAGCGAGCGATCGGACGGGAAAAAACGACGGGCCAAAAGTTCGTCGGTCCGTCTCGCTGATGAAGCCTCTGACTGCCCCTTGCTCGCTGGTCCGTTCTTCCGGTAGGTAGACCGATCTTTCGATATTGGCTCGGAGTCCGGTACTACAGACTGAAACCAAGCGTGAAGGAGAGCCCTCCAGCTCCGGCCCGAGGAGCGCGTAAAACGAGATTGAATTTCTCGCGTACGAAATTCCAAAAACAATCAGCATTAAATCCCGGACCGCCACCACGCTGGAGTCGCTTGAAGGTCGACGACATTTTGACTGCGAGAAATCAAGGCCAAGCGGGATATAGAGGCTCGAATCGCTCGGTGGCCGAGCTAAGGAGCGGCAAGAATCTGTGGCAGGGTCACATGCATTATTAATTTACCACATAACGTCGGGCGAAGGCAGCTCTCTCGGGGTCCGGGCTCTTCTGCAATACATGACACCGAATACCGAGCGCTCCGACTCGGAATTATTGGCCAGCGGACTGCTGTTACGAAGGTGCCGGACCCCAATACGTGAAGATTTTTTTGTTCTCTATTGGATGTAATTGCGACCGTTTCGGCGGGAAGTCCCTATGATCCGGTTCGGCACTTTTCCCTACCAATACGCGACATTCCAGAATCCACTGGGGCAGATGGTAAGCGATCGATCGACGGGAGGTACGGGAAACAGAGATAAACGGGTTCTACGAGAGCTCAGCTTATATACGAGAGATTCGCGCATTGGGGTGCGGTGACGATTCCTTGCACGGGTCCCGGTGCGGATCAATGAGTCGGCAGAATCCGTCTGGGTACGCCCGTCCGCACGCGAGGAAATCGCGCAGAATTGGTTCAGGCTGTCCGATTATAGATATATCGATATAAGCACTGTTCTCTGGCATCGGGATCGTCTCAGAACAAAAGAGAACCTGCTCCCGGGCTCCCTCCCAGCGCACGGAGCCAATACGGCTTCCTCATGTTTTATCTTCGATTCCATCCGGTTTCTCCCCCGCGCAGATATTCATATCGATCCATCAGCTACTCGAAAATGCAGCTCCCCGACTCCGAATCCCTCCGAATGGCGAAGAGTTGAGCGGGAAGACGAGCAAGCTCACAATCCTGGCAATGAGACGAGCGCTCGCCCGAGCGGTTAGAAAGTTGTCTCCGCCATCGCCCTGAAGAAGCTCTCGCTGCTGTTCTCCGGAAGGTCAACCGAAGTTTACGATCTGTCTCCCTCAGTTCTTCGAATTTGAAACAACACAGAGCATCGGTCGTTTCCCATGAGAAATTCATGCTCGAGGCGATACGAGCGAGTTTCGGCGCAAGAGAACGCTGACGAAGTTTCTCACGAGATCTCCTCCGGAATCTCCCCTCTAACGACGGCAACGCATTGTGAGGCCATCCCGATTCCCTCCCGAGTTGCTCGATGCTTGAAGCCCTCTCGACATATCAGAGTGAATATCATTCCTCTCGGGAAGAGCTCGGAATAGTCTGACTCGAAAAGACGCGATTTCCAGTCCAATGTCCGTGGTGACAAGGGAGCTTGGCAACAGGTGTGTTGTGAAGTCCGTCCTGGACTCGACTGCCACAAGCGGGCGGCTAAGCCGGCGGGCTAATTTTAGAATGACACGACTGAGGAGCAACTCCGTGCCGAGGCTCCGACCACGGAAAGTTTGTTTGCTTGCTTGCTCGCTCCCCTCCGAATCATAAAGGCGAGCAGCTCTGGCTGGCCGGCCGGCCGGCCCGATATAGTGCCGCTAAGGGAGCACCGCTCACCCAGAAACGAGCCCTAGAAGTAGGAGCTTCTGCGGCCGGAGCTCCGGTGGATTCCCAGCCCCTAACCGCGTCAAGTCTCGTTGTTTCCATCGTTATGCTCTGCATTTCGAGGCGTCATTTCGATCACACGTGACCGAGCAGAGTCAACAGAATAAACGGCAAACCAACTCCAATCCTAGAATGTTTGCTCGTGTGCTTTATTCCGTGGCCGCAGCACCCGATGCTCGTTGCTATTTCTCTTGCGAATCGCCCCACGCAAAAGTCTTCCCCCTACCTCCCCCTCAACCGACCCACCGATTCTCTTGCTCCGATCGTCCGTCGTCTTGGCTCGCCCAGCCCTGGGAAAAATTCCGCGGGATTTTTCTCTCCGCAATTTCGGCTGCAGTAATTAATCGCTAATCTGTGATTTCGCCTTGCACGGGACCGGCGAACGTGAGAGTCGATGCGCGGCCGCCGCCTCAGAGAGTCGAGGTCCGCGCCGAGCTGGACGATTCCGTGCTCCGCAGATTTGTTTTTACGCGTTCCGAATTCCTGCGCAGTCGGATACACGGGAACCTCCGCGTTAATCCCGCGGAATTTTTCCGGTACACGTGATTGGAGCTCTCTCCGGAGCACTTGAATTCATAGAGCTGATCATCAAGAAGCAATCAAACGTTGACAGCTGTGGCTTGAAGGGAATCACACGGAGACGTGTTCAGACCTCGACGTAGGATGAAGACGATAGAGCCGACGGCAGATTCCATGTCAAAAATCTACGCTCCTCGTTAAGGGACATATCTTCACAGAAAACTCTTCTACCCGATAGATTCCGATTGATTCAGAACGAAATCGAGGCGTCAAATCGACAGCCGTTCCCAAAGCGTCGAATGCATCGCCACCAAACACTCATTCCTCGCTACGTGAAGCTGCTCATGTGTTATTTAGAGCGGTGAGCTCGATTACAATTTCTTGAGAGAATTTCGGTCGATACGTTATTAAGATTCGAGCCTGACGCGGATTCCGGTCCCACGGAGCGAGAGGTCTCAGGCCTGCGCTCCTTCGAAGTATTGTTGCTTGACGGCTCCGTACGATGCAGCCGACAAACGCGTCGAGGGTTTTCATGAACTGAATGACGATATGCGCTTTTTGCGGCTGACGTGGAGTGGGCTCCCTCGGCGCCCTTATTCGAGGGGAACAAGAGTCGAGAGAGCCGCCCCCCCCCCCTACTCGATAGCGACAGCTCGAGTACTTCTTCTTGAAAGTCGATGCCTCTTTCAATCAAGAAATCTGAGCAACAAGAACAGAGCGCCGAACGTACAGATCAACGTCCGTGGATGATTGCCGCAGAGGGGAGGGGAAAGGTCGACTTTCAGGGAATATTCACGGAGAGAATCGGAACGACGCACCGTCGAAATAGTGCGAGCTCCGGGTGGAGGACTCATGCGCACTACGACGCAGATCAAGGATAGTCCATGCTCGTCCCATAATGACCGTACAAATGGAGATTCGATCATGATTAAAGAGACCGATGTCCTGAGTGAACGTGTGGCAGCGCAAAACGTTCGCTTGGCGGACAATAATTCGAGATTCGAATCGCATGATACATCACAATCACTTACGAGCGAAAGGTTTGCGTTCGAGTTGGTCGCGTGAGTTCGAGTTCCATTCGAGCGTACGCTCAGACGAACACATCGGCTCGCCCGAGCGACGTTGATTCTGGGAAATTGATGATCTTGGATTGTTCAACTCATGCCGAACGTAACAAATCGGAATGGATTTACGACGTGTACAGAAGCAACGTATCAAATTATTCCGTCGATAGCCACGTCGGGAGCGTTGTATCGCTCGACCCGACTCGTGGACCGATCGAAACGTCGATGTAAGTGATAGAATTAATCGAGCCGGAAACGAGCAGACAAAACACGTAAACTCGTTTAGGAAAGCTTCTGCGGATTGGTGGAGTTTTTACGATGACTTCGTGGGCGGAAAAGGACATCGAACGGTCTGGATTTGGTCGGACCGTCGCCACCTGAGTGGATTAGTCGAGATAAGGAACCTGAAATAATGAGGGAATCAGACTCACCTCGTCCCATTTGACAAACTTATTACCATCCTGAAGTGCTTTCGACACCAGGATCGGCTTGAGTTGAACGACATGAATTCCAGCTTTTGCCCCTGCCATTGTGACGTTGCCGACGTTGCAAAGTTTGTGCTTGATTTGCCGTAACTCCTTTACGCCACCGAGGGCGTCACGGATACATCATACGGAGATACCCAACCGTTATCCAGCCCTCGAGAATGGCGAGCTCACTGGCCGTCGACCGGTGGATATTTTACACACACGCAACTTTCGTTTTTCACCACTGCACAGTCCACATCGAGTCCCTCGCTGGCGCGGACATCTGATCGGTAGAATCGATGGAAACGCTTCTTCTCACTATGATCTCAGTTGGCGACAAGCACTTCCTCGACAGTCCACGGAATTCCGGGTGGGGAACGACATGACTCAAAACTGTGAAGCCTTCGTCCGTTCTCGAATTCTTTTCCAATTGTTGCCGCCGCCGCCGGTGCTGGTTCCCGTGAGAAAAATTATTTCTCAGACCGGACCCGTTTGCGGAGTTCTCTCCAGGGGTTCGGTGTTCGAAGTGATCGTGAGCGGGGCGCTTGTGGCTCCGGGCCTTTACAGTGATTTGTCACGATATCGTGGAAAGTCCCCCAATTCTTTTGATATGGTTTCTGCACGGAATTCTACGTGGAAATATTCGGTGCTCGATTACGTCCGAGTGACTCTCGGACAGGTCGGCTCCTCTCGCGGAGTTCCACCGATTGCGGAAGAGCTCCTCTCGGGAAGCTCTGGTGTGAGAGAACTTGTCGTATACCAGCCGATCGCGACCGCTGACGTTTCTGTTGTTGTCCTTAATCCTTCTGGAGCAGCGTTCGCGCTTGGTTTGCAGATAAAACTCGTCTGCTGATGTAGCTACACAGCGATAACACTTCGTGGTCACTTTTTGTACACTTGTCAGTCACATAGCCGGAACATAAGAAACACTTATCCGCTGGAGCTTTTCAAAATAGCTCCTGTTCTCGCTCGAAGGGCTGACTTCTTGGTCTGGTTGCACTTACGCGCACTTGTTATACATCACACAACTCACATAACTACCAAGCCTGTTTCCAGAATGACTACTTTGTGGGTAACTCCCGAGTTGAGCTCCAATTGTTGGAGAATGGCTTACGTCAAAGTTGCCGCGGCGAGTCGACTGCCTGTTGCTCGAGAACTTTTTGTTGTCGTTTTTGTCTTCGAACTCTGCCTCAAGGCGAACCTGTCGCTGCTGACAAGTTTCCTGTTTTTGTTGTTATTGCTGCTGTCATGAGCTTCAAATGTTACACTCGATGTCGAAATTCCCAGCAGTATTCCTCCACTTAAGCCGTCGACCAGTGGACGAGGAAGCCCAGGGCTATCCTCACCGACCGGGCACTTGTTGGAGGGCACTCTCCACGTCTTCTGGTTTCGCACAGCCGGAGTAAATTTCTGCCGCTTTGTGACCAGCAGGAGAAAATCTCGAGTCGGGGAACACTCGAGAGCAAGGTTCCTCCGAGCGGGACGAATGTGGATGAAATTTCCTTAACGAATCCGACGAACTCCGGCGATTCGTGCAGCGAGTTCGAACCTTGAGCTCCGGTGATTCTGATGAGGACAGTTTCGGAAACGATCGGACTCCTCGGTCGATCGGTCGAGATTCCGAGTAATCGTAAAACGTAAACGATAACTGTCCGAAGCTTGCGCCCGCCTCGCTCGCTCGCTCCGAGGTTCTCGGTCCCTTTATTGCTAATCACGTCAACGCCGTTGATCTAGTAGATCCACTTGACGCCGCTGTTGACGAGGGTGCCGCTGTTTTTCCGCCCACCGGCACTCCAATTTCAATAATGCAACTCTCAACCCAAGAGCGCCAGACGACAAGCCGGGCGCAACACTAGGTCGTGCGGCAGCACGTGTTCGACGTACACGGTTTTAATACGAACGCTCAATGGCCGCGTTTTCGACTGCCTCGATGGCATCGCAGGACATTTGGCCATTTCGGTCGGGTCCTGTCGACTTCGCAGCTGGCTGCTCGTCTCGCCTACTGAGCGGTTGGCTTCTCCGGTCCGATCAAGTCCACTCCCGGATAATTGCGGGCATGTAGAACCGCTCGACGTTGACCGATGGAGTCATGAGCGAAGTTTCTCGGGCACAGCGACAATTTTTCTCTCGGCTCGCAGGAGCCGCAACTTGCACCGGCTACGCACAGGCTGTTCGGCACTCCGAATCCCCAGCTGGTTTGTTTCTCGTTCGGTCGACCAGCGGTTCGGAGGATGTTGTTGGTCGACGGTCGGATTCTCGGTCGGTTGGTCGTACGAGCGGACGAGCGGGCGGTCGGCCGGCTGGCTGACGACTGGTGGCCGAGTCCTGCAAGATAACGTCGGCGGTAAGTGAAAGGAAAGGGAACGTGTGTGTCCTGAGCCGAGCGCTCGGAGAGACAGTGGCAACCCAGCCAGCGGGCCGGCAGACGGCCAGGCAAGCGGGCAGCCAGGCAGTCAGCCAGGCAGGCTCGCGGGCAGGCAAGCAAGCAGGCAAACGGGCGGGCGGTCGAGCCACCGAGCGGGCAGGCGGATAGGCAGTCAAGCCGGCAGGCACACAGACCGAGAGAGGACGGCGAGCGGGCGAGCGAGCTGGCAAGCCGGATGGGCAATAGCAAACGCCGGGAAAGGACGTACCGCACTGAATGAGGAGGGAAGGGTCTTGTCACAGGGAATTAGCGCCATCTGGCGGTTGTTGTTACGAAACGAACATACCCACGGTCCCCCGTACGCCAACGTACCATTGAACCTGGGTGGGTAGACGTTTTTGCGCACGCGGTCAGACAACCGAGGCGACTTGTCGGCCACCAATCAGCGCCGAACGAGTCAGCAGCTTGAGCATATCCGACTTAACCCTGACCCTTGTGCACAGGTCGCACCCTATTCCCGTGCAGCGGCTCCCATTCCTCGGAGAATTCCGACGGACCTCGTCTCACGCCCGCTTCACCTGATCGTCGGTGTTGTGACTCGGCTGCCTTCGCTCTCTCCCATTCCCTGTGTCCCGCATCCTTGATTTCGTTGTCACGCGGACCCCTTCCATCTCTCAACCTCGTCCCTCCTCCCAAGCCACCTGTTCTCTTCTCCTCTCGACCTTGTGAGCCGTTTTTACGGCGCCAACCAATGGCTTTTGGGTCAGGTTAATTCCACGGATCAATTGGCTGTCTTGATTAGATCGTGGATTCACAAAGTCAACGCGGATCGAGAGCATTCCTCCAGAGACTCTTCGTATATATCTCGCATTTTTCGCGTGACTCCTGAAGGTCAGCCCGTCCTTGCTGAAGAATATTCTCCGAGGAAGAGCGACGATGTCCCTCGAGAGGTGCCTGGGTAGCTGCCCTCAACACTATGCAACAAGCGCATACCCGTCGGACCCCAGACTCTCAGAATGATTCCCGAGACTCTGGTGATCCTGGACTGGAATCCCCGGTCGAGTTCCCTAGAAGCTCTGGAAACAGCTGATGACGAGGGGTGACAAAGCAAGCAACAGATTGATCGGCTCAGTATGCGACGTGAGTTTGCAAGAAGTGAGTGCCGACGATAATGACGGATGCAAGATCAACGCGATCCCGCAGAATCATAGTCGGGGTAGCAGCGAAGGAGAGCGGCTCAAGGGGTGGCATCGTGCGGAGGAGCCTGCGATGGATCAATCATCCGCATAATAGAGAAACACCCTTTCTGACGTGAACAGGACACGCAGAGACTTTGTCAGCCATCGAGCATGGAATCAACATCGGGCTCATCCGGTCTTCCGCTTCATTCGTGGGAAGTTTCGCGGACGGGCCCTCGCACAAAACCGCGCCTCGATCAACATTCCACGGATGAAGCCTGATTCCACGTCTGGTTCTCTCATCATCTCATCGCTTGCGCCGAATCCGACAAGCTTTGAAGCCCCGGAATGAAGTTCAACTTTTCCAAACTACCGCAGTTAGCTTAGTTCCATGATGGCGAAAGGATGCAGATCGTGGAAACCGGAGGGAGGCTGTCCTGACGAGGAAAACTTCGTTCTGCTCGTTCGATGCATCAGAGCCCCCTATGGAAACTCTCGAGCCTGCTAGGCCTATCTCAGGCGTCCGAGATCGGATAGACTAGCGCGTTTCTTCCCGAGGGCAGGATCAATGAGTTCGAGTTCGAACCATCGACTATAGGTGCGACTGCTTGTGGTTGAGCAGCATCCATCGATTACGGCCGAGACAAAGGCAACGTCGCGACGAGGGCTCGAACCGACGCGCCCTAGGACTGCGAATCGTACCTCTCCACTCCCCAGCTGGAAAAGTCAAATTCTCCAAAGAATCGTTCTTATTCCTCACAGATAGTACCATGGTGCGCCATCGGAACAGCTGTGCTCGATATCCACCATCGCCTTCAGACTTCAACTCGTGTTCCAGCCGCCGTAGAAATCCCTTACGACAGTCAAAACCCAGTCTGACGTCGATTCCAAGCGTGGCAGCTGAATTCCCTCCTTTTCCCCATCCATTCTCGGAAGCGGAAGCGATCCAGCGTTTGAATTGGTGCGCGGATCCTACGAGAATCCCGTCTGCGGAAAGGCAGACCTACGAGCTCGCAAGTCGCCCAGCGAGCAAGAGGGCTTTCGCGGAGGAGCACCTCGCAAGTTCTCGTCGACGATGCTAGCTGGAGCAGCAACGGGGAGAAACATCGAGGAAAAAGCATTCTGCGGCTGCAGCCGGCGGTCTCGAGGGGAAGAGCCGCATTTCTATTTCCTCCACCATTAACACCACAAGGCGGCTGCTCTGTACAAGTGTTGACTTCGAAAGATTGCGGAAGGCGTTTTGGTGGTCGACTGCGAACAGAGAGCCGACTCCTGGAACAATAGACAGCTCCGAGAGTGGAAGTGAATGCGCCCCAGTTCCGAGAGTGAATCCGTTCTGAAGCGTGTCGCCGACGCGGAAGGAACAACAGCTCCTCAGAGCCGAGGCTCGGAAATGCAGCTCCTCACACGAGGCCCCGCTGCCGAAGCCGCTCGATAAGCAGCTATCACGGAATCGTCATTACTGTTTGTAGTGACCGCTGCATACACACAAATGGAGTCTACTTCGGGCTCCTTCCAAG